CTGGCTTTCGGTGTGTGATCCCGACTGTGTCCTCAAGGAAGCAAAGGTCGTTCGATATAACTTTCCTTTCGGTTGCTGAAATCTCCATTATGATCTTCCCAGGTGCTGGACGCCTTCACAAATCTCGCACAGATGCATCTGTCAACGTGTACACCGATTCAGGTAACAGCGCAGAAAACAAGTTTAGAAAAATGCTACTTACTTTACGTCTCAACAGGCCGCGCTGCCGAAGATATTGCAAAATACTCCACAAGACTTTTTCAGTCAAACTTTGGATACACTCAGCACAAGAGCCGATCTTTGCTACGAGAGAGCTCAGAAGACCCCGGGACTGTCCTGTCCTTCAAAGCCTCGAGGCTCTATGTATATCATGGTAAACGCTTTCTCTCCGGAGTCTGTTTTTCAAAACGTTCCATGCAGATTAGAATCGATTCAGACAAGTTCAAAGACCTCAGAGACGATAAGGAGTTTGCGGTGGCTCTCGCGAAGGAGGAAGCACTCATGGTATTACCAGGTACAGTGGCTTCAATAAGATATAGCGTGTATGCTTAATGATTTACTTGCGTCCAGGTTCTGCTTTCGGTTTTCCTGGTTGGATCCGCCTCTTGTTTGCTGCTCCTGAGACTATTCTGGATGAAAGTTGGGATAGACTCGAGGCGTTCTGCACACGACATACAAAATAGTCAAGAGAAAATGTCCACACATTCTTTTCACACAAGAAAAAGCCGTGTGTCACCAGTAATTCAGCGTCTACAGTTCTTCTGAGCCACGTTTCGCCATGGTGTTGAGTCCAGAGTTGAACACGGCGCCATCAGTGGACAAGCGCATGAGGAGAAGGCGTGCGACATTCTCTGCGGCAACAGCGCTCGTCTCCATTGTGCTCGCGGCGTTTTCAAACGAATTGACATAGTAGAGATGATTGCCATCAAGAATGACTGGAGCGAAGGTTTCTGGCGCGTTGTACTGGGGGTAGGCCGCCCAGTTGAGTCGAATGGTTTTCCTTCGCACGCTACACAGCAAATCAGACAAGCCGGGAATTTACTTTGAGGACGGTACCTGAAGAGTTTGTCCAGGAACTCATCGGACAACGATGCTCGGGAAAAGACTTTGTAAGCGTTGTCGGTGGCATTATAGCTCTTAAGAACCGAAATAGATATAAATGGAATGCCGGGCACTTCCAACGTAGCGATTAAGTCCGGTAGTTTTGCATCCTTGAGACCAAAGTAATCCTGCTCGGGCAACATACAAAATACGATCAAACCACAAAATCTCGACGTAAAAACACTTACCCGACTGACGAGCCCACGAACGAATGTAACGAAAGTGTGATGCATCGAGCGTTTGGGTAGATCGACGGATGGACTGAAAACGATTTTCTCTTCGTCTAAGGAGGCGGCAATAATCACGGCGTTGCACGTCCTGTTTTTCCCAGACGAGCTCATCACCTCGTAGACTCCATCTTTGCTCACGACTGATAACACCGTATCACTTAAACCGAGAGAGGCATTCGAGAGCTTGATCAAACCATCCGCC